CTGCTGACTAGTTAACTCAAAAAGTCTCGAATGGGGAATCAATGACTAAGTACAGCGTACATTTTCTAATGAAACACGAATATAATGCCGAATTTTTTTGGTTGAACTGATCAACAGTTTATCGCCAAGACAAAGCGAAATAACTTCTGGATTCAGCAAGGTATTTTGTGTGCAGTACAATTTTACATCATTTGTTGTCGGTATCCAACCGACAACAATTTGTGCTCGTACTAATCCAATGTACTCCTGTAAAAATCAAAAGTTTATTTTGTTTTTAAAGCTAACAAATAAATTAGAACAGAAATTATGCAACTGTAATTCAACGATAGTTGAAAAATTGGGAAAGAAGAAGTGAAAAAAAAAAAAAAAATTTGTACATTCATAACTGACCAACAAAGTGCGCTTGATTATACAACGACTGTGATGACTGATACTGCTGAACATTGGTATTGTATCTGAATGCAGATAAGGATCGATAACATCTTTTTTACTGTTTTCAATTCGACTAACTTTTGCTGCTACAATCACATCTGTTCGGCTACGTTTCCGAAGATTTTTTGACTTTTGTTGTGCAGAATTTTTTGTGTTATTAGTCATCATTTCTATTAACGTTTTGCACTTCTGTTGTTACTTCTAAAATTGAATAAATTTATTATAAACTATATGTCAATATATATCTGAGCAAAATTTTGCTGAAGCGTTACTGTTCAGAAAGGGCAAACAAAAAAAAGAAAAAATGTATCAATCAAGTTACACATTATTCATTGATAATTGAAAATATATTTTGATAAAGTTTTTTCAAAAAGTATTTGTCAAAAAAAAAAAAAAAAAGTCAGTTAAACTGTGAATTGTTGGACAGAAGTAATACAGTTGCATAAATTTTCACTACTACTCTTTGGATATTTGAAAATTAGAAAAAAAGAATGATTTAGAAATAACAACAGCGTTAGAGCAATAAAGAAAAAAAGAAGCCGACGAGAAATGTTGGTTGAAGTTGTCTGATGTAAAAGTGGTAACAGTTGGATGCGCGACCACCTTTTTATAAGCAACTCTTTGCTCTGTGTGTTCATTCACTGACTCAGCGGCAACCATTTACATATCAGAACACGTTTAAACGTGCTTCAGTTGGTTTAAGCCTGGGAAACAACAGAATTGTGAACAGTTCTGTCATGTTCAGACTTGCTCAGCAACGCTTTGCTCTTTCTCCTCGCTAATGGTTACCACTGTGATTAAAAAAAATATATATATTGTTTAATTTTTTTCTACTTTTTTTTTTTTTCAGATTAATATTATGGACTTGGTAGATCATTTTTTTTTTGCTTTCTGCTTAATTTACTTCAAGGTTTTCAGGTGGATTAAAGTTTAGAATACTTTGTTTGGTGTTAAGATTTCATGACCGTTTTGCGAGTTTACTAGTAAGCTAAAGTTATCAGATTGCAACTGCCAAAAAATGGACTTCCGCGCTACTGCAGCAATTACTCCAAAATATGTTTTTTTGATTTTTGTTTTCTGGTCAGCCCATGTTTGAGTTTCAGATTTGTTTAGCTATTTCTTACTAATTTCTCAACGGTCACCTGCTATAGTTCCGTAGAAATTCTTTTTGCTTTTTGCGTAATTGACAGTTGTTCTACTTTTTTTGTCTATTAATATAATTAGGTTAATTTCAACTGCAGGTTAACCCTTGATGCCCTCGACGTATTTTTGGTATTGTAGTCTTGTTGAGAGTCAAATAACGTTCACAATGCAAGCCTTTTTAGCAACAACTTTGCTTCAGAAACTGGACCCAAGTAAAAAATACCAAAAAACTATACATAAAACACATCTTTTTGCCACATAAATGAGTCTATTTTTGTTAGCAAATCTTTCTAGACAACTTCTTAACCACTTCACACAGTGGATTGATATGTTCGATCTACACATCTAAAACACGGTAAAACACGAAGCTATTTTATAAGAAACTGGAAGTGGTCAAAAAATGTGAAAGCTGTAAGCAGGCATTTTTTTTCAGAGAACAAATTTCAACGTTTCAGGTTTCTGGGTTTGCAATGACAAAAAATAAGGAATGTCTTTTACACCCAAATGCCACCAACGGAGCCGGTTTCGTAAAACAACATGAAACTATGATACTAGATCGTTAGAAAGTTATCAAATAGTGCATCAAGTTTCAAACTAATGCAGATGAATCAGCAATGACTGAGAACTAAGTATTAAAAATTTGAATTACGTTAACAGCAAAAAAAAAAGTGTGTCTGGCGGCGGTCATGCTTAAACTGCTGACGTTCAGGACCAACTGTTTAGTTATTCCTAAAAAATTAGAACTTTCATAACCTGTGAGTACGCACGTAATACTCCCCTGATAAAAGGCCCAAAAAAAAAGTAAAATCTTTCTTTTTTCTTAAAGAATAGCAAGGAAAAACTCAACCAATTCACACTTCCACTGACAAAAACAACAAATGGGTTCTCTATTTACAAAGCATTAAGAAATTTCCTTTCTTGCTCCTTTAGAAGCTGTTAAATAGAGGGGAAATGGAAATTTCTAATTATCCGCTTTACAATGACTTTACCAGACTGCTACGTTGCCAATTCAACTTATGCTTTTCTTTTTATCTTCTTGGTCGTTCAAGAACATCAATGTTGTTTTGTCAGCCAGAAACACAAATGAATGAGAAGACAAAGAAATAGATACAATTTGTACAAGAGTAAAGAGTTGTTGCAAAATTCTATTATGAATTTCTATCTTTGACTTCTTCTTTGATTTCTCCTTTTTCCGGCAAAGCTTAGGAGCACAAAAAGTCTGTAACAGTAATTCCAGGATGATTACTTTACCAACAAATGGAAGTAATTTTTCTGATTAGCATATACTTAATTTGGTCCATCACTTTCTTTAACTTTTTCCGCTTACAGATCATTACAGCTGGCCAACAATTTTTCGTAAGTTGCTGTTCAGTCTTTCTTTTCTAAGCTGTTTACAAAGCTTTATAAACGACTGAAAAGTAAAGTTAAAATATGACGATTACTGGCTGCTTCTTTATTCCTGCTTTTTTTCTGTCTTTAAAACGAAATACGTACACTAATAATGGTCATCTATCAACAGAGGAAAGCAGCCAGATAAAGTTTGGTTATAGCAGGCTACAGGTGATTAAACCCTGCAGTTACTCACTTTTGTGTAAAACAAAAATCTTCACATTATTTGCTGATATTTCAAACTGGATAAAGATATTTTAATTTCTGTGCCTTCTAATTGTAAATCCAACACTGTTAAGTTTGCACTGATATTGAAGAAGTTACTTGTCGAACTTTAAAAAACTCCATTAACTTCAAAGACTGCGTGACAGCAATTTTTGTTACTTACTTCTTAAAAAACCTGTGTCTCACCTGTTAATGATGTTGATATTATTAAACAGTAAAAGTACGCCTAAAACGAAAGAAAAGCCAATCAACAAAGTGCCTGTAAAAATTACTTCTCTACATCAAAGGGCATAACTTAACGAAACTCAGTCTCAGTTCCAGAAACGACCTACAGGATCTGATCGTAAAAACATGCTTTGCAAAAGCTGTTTTGGCATAATGACACAATTAAAAAAACAAAACAGAACTAATCTTCCTTCTACCATGGCACTTTTTTTCGTGTCTCTCACATGCAAAAGTTCAAAATTACAATTAAAGGAGGCTCCTTATAAAAACCCCAAAAGACAGTCAACTACAGTTCATCATTTTTGATATAAAGCACATATTTTTAAGTGTAAGTGAACACCTAAAGTGAGATTAGGTAAATAAAAAAAATAAATATCAGTATTTCGTACTCATAGTTGTGCGTTAAAAATGGGTTTTTTTGCACTTACCTTATGTATTAATCAATAACCTCATGAAAACTTTTCAACAGCCCATGACTGTCGACAGAGAATTAGAATCACAAAGAAGATCAAAAAATTTTGCAGGATACAAAGAAGAATATTTGACTTATGGCTAAAGCAGCACTTTGGCACCAAATTCCGTTTAAATTCCGCTAGTAAATGCTGAATTATCTGCTTAATAATTGCAATAGTGATCTTTGGTTGTATTTACTACTTCAATAAAATAACTGCTCTTAAAATAGCAATACAGGTGGCAATTTATACAAATTAAGCAGCTACTCTCTTAAGCGGCATTTAACGAGACCGTCCTCAGCGGCTACAAAACGATCGGGGTTAGCCTCCCCAAGTCAGATCTCCTATTCGATCAAAAAACAATTTGTGAAAATGGGTGGGTCTTTTCCAGAAATTAACGAAACTCTTTGATATATTTTTTTAAAATTATCAAAAGGATACCGTAAAGATCTCAGACCGTACTGGATAACTTTAACCTAAACACTACCTGAACTTCTAGAAATGCAGCAAATACGAAAAATTCATAAGCTGTACTGGCAGCTTGCCAAGTGCGGATCTGTATGTAGTCCAACACTATAATTAAAAGGGAATTTTAAGTTTCGCGTAGTATATCAAATACTGATGCAACTGTTTCTGGATAATTGCCAACAGCATCAATGTCGGTTCTGCAGTTCGAAATTTGAATAAGCGCAACTTTGGCACGAAATGAACCTAGCTTCAAGCAAATAAGATCTGTTGTTCTTAGTTAGGTGCGTTAGTGCTGCACGTATCTTCTGATTTTTTTTTATTCCTTCCTGGATAATTAAGCGATAATCGAGACAGTTGAGGTGCTGCGTGCTAAGGTATTGAATCTATTTGTCCGATTTCAATTGAGGGCAGTCGGGTGTAAACTGTTTTCCTGACAGCTGAGTGGTATCAGCAGAACTGCCGGAACAGAATTGATGTGAACCATACTTTGGTCATTCGTAATTGCTGATGTGTCAGAGGCTGATATACCATTGTTTAAGTTGGCTGGTTTGTCGAAAATGTGGCTAACTCAGACCGTACTGGATAACTCAATTTCGAGCAGAAAATTGTTTTTCAAACTGTAGTTGATTTTGTGGAATGGATCCGCCTCTTAACTGATGATTTAAAAACCAAGGATTTTTTTAAAATATATTTTATTTGTTATTATATTATCGACTTTTTTTTCTCTTTTTTTTTGGAGAACATTTGGGCTAATTAAACTTTTTTTGAGCTGCGTAAAAAGGTATTTGGGTAAATAACGTTAAGGAAATTATTTGTAATCATTTTTGTCGGAAAGTAGGTCTCACTCTTTAGGACTTATAAGGAATTCTCTTGCAAAATTGTACAGAAGCCTCTATCAAATTAGCTTACAATTTGTTGGGAGTGGTAAAATTTAATATCCAAATTTCACGGGATCGAATAGGTGTGGTTGGACTTAGTGAAGATTTAAGAGGTCTTTCTATGAATG